TCAGGTCTCAGACGTTCCAGATTTCAAATTTCGGCTTTCAAGATTTCGGACCATTAGAGGTTTCATCTGTACAACACGCGCAGTCACCTTCGAATAGTACAGCTAACAACTAGAATCACCGTTAGAAAATCTTTCACCGTCAGGATCGACGTTTCACAATTTCTGCAAACGATACCGGTGATCTATTCGAGGCCGACTGAGAATTTGCACACCGGTGCGAAATTGAATTTTCTTCTCTCACCCGTTCGTTTTTGTATTGGTACATAAATGAGACGTTTAAATTCCCCACGTTTCGGAAACCTGTTCGACATCTTTTACAGGCCGGTAAAAACTTGGGAGAAACGAGGGAAAAAAGGGTACAGAGACGAGTCCTGGTTTCTTCGTTCCGCGGATTCTTCGCGATCCGCATGAACATTTTCGTCGGTGGCTCGAAACACGATAAGAACGGGCAAGAAAGTATCACGTGTACGAATCCTGGCAGATTTTATGCAACGCATCTCTCTGCAAGAATTTCTTGAATGTGCGGATTTCGCGAATATCTCGAGATTAGAATTGCAGATTGGGGCTTCTGAACGAACCGCGAGGTTCGTTTCATAATTAATGGGGTCGAGAGAGTGAAAACGAGAATGGGTGGAAAAAGTTCCGGTTTTTCGTGAAACTCCAAGTCGATCTGTTACACATTTCAGTTTCGCCGGGTTTTTTCTTCTTCTAATTTTCAAACAGTACGGGATACTTTTTATCATCCCTTGATGACGATTTATGGCGAAAATCCAAGATTTCAATCTGAAGTCGTAAAATGGATTCGTTTGAAGTTTAATTAAAGGAAATAGAACGATTACATTTTATCCTCCCTCGTGTTCCTACAAAATTAAATTCTCTATTTTTATTCGTAGAATAATATTCAAAATCAAATTTACTGTTAATACTTCGACATGGAACACTATATATTAGAAGTTAATAATTATTATCAACATATTTATTTCCATTTTTATTCCCCCTTATTTTATTCTATTCACTAAAGACTATCGTACTCAAAGAAACATACTTTCTTCCCCTAATTATTTCAGAAAAAAAGCGAATTTCAAAATACAAAAATTCGATAAGCACGATATTAAATAATCTGATTGCATATATCATATATTTAAATCGTGATCTGTACTATAAGTGCAATTTGAGGTCATTACTATTATTAATATGAAGAAAGGGTTAAAATTTGCAATTAAAATTTTATGGTCTGCACTATAAGTGTAACTTGACGTGATCACTATTATTAATATGAAGAAAGGGTCCAAATTAGGACTAAAATTTTAACTGAAATTTGCAATTAAAATTTTATGGTCTGCACTATAAGTGTAACTTGACGTGATCACTATTATTAATATGAAGAAAGGGTCCAAATTAGGACTAAAATTTTAACTGAAATTTGCAATTAAAATTTTATGGTCTGCACTATAAGTGTAACTTGACGTGATCACTATTATTAATGTGAAGAAAGGGTCCAAATTAGGACTAAAATTTTAACTGAAATTTAACTGAAATTTGCAATTAAAATTTTATGGTCTGCACTGTAAGTGTAACTTGACGTGATCACTATTATTAATACGAAGAAAGTGTTAAAATTAGAACTAAAATTCACACCTACTAGACATTTAAACCACGACCTGCAGTACCAGCGTAATTCGACGTCCTCACCATTCTCAACAGAAAGAAAGGGTTAAAACACACTGGTAACTCTAATATTTCAAACAATAGCCACGGAAAGTCACGGCCAAAACGAGTATCCGTACAAACACGTACACAGGATGTGTTTCAACGTGGCGTGCAAGGTTAGCCGGAAGCGAGCTTCCGGAAGTAGAGGCGAACGAAGGAAAATGCACCGGGCAGGGGCAGGTTCCACATGGAAGACTCGATCGAAGATCGAGAAGGGAATCGAATTACGTTCCGCTGCAGCTGGCGTAACAAAAGGGAGATAATGGCCAATGGAAAACTCGAGTCAACGAGATGAACCGAGATCTTTGGATTACAGCTGCACCATCTTGCTCCGATATCTAATTCCTCCTATTTACAAGGTCTCCCCGGCGTGGAACGGCCTTGATGAGGAAACCAGCATGCACAGACCTTTGCCTTTTCACCCGCAGAGCCAAGAATATTTCCACGTAGTGAAATAAACGGATTTTCTTTTTATTCTTGGTAAAATTTCACGAATTTGTTTATCCAGCGATTTTTCACTCGATATTGCAATTTTGTTCTACGTGAAAATTGAAGGAAAATTAAAGAGAAAAGTTCGACTGAATATTTTCCCAATGAAACACTTTGCTTCGAATGTGTTCAGTTTAATTTGAGTCAGAGAATCTCGATTTCGAACAGAAAAATAATTAATTGAATAGTTTGAAAATGGTACTAAAGTTTCTCCAGCGTGAAACAGCCTTAACGAGGAAACCAGCATGCAGACCTTTGCTTTTTGACCAGAGAATTGAAAACATTTCGATGCGGTGAAATGAATGGATTTTTTTTTCGTGAAATTTGATGAATTTCTTTACCATTCAGTGGTATTTCATTTTTTATTTTAATATGTTATTTAATACTTTATTTTAATTTCAGTCTTGATTGTATCTTGAGGCACAGAATTTCGATTTCGAATAAAAAGAAATTTATTCTCAAGGAAGAGTGTAGTTCTTTTTTTTTTTTTTTTTCAAGAATCAGGTTTCGTCGAATGCAATTTAACAATGACGCAGCATTTTTTTAAATCACTATGACGATGATTCATGCTGAGGGAATTCTTGGAGGAGATAGTCAAGGTGCGTTGAACATTTCTTGGAATTTTCTAATTGAACACAACATGCGATTAATAACATACGTTTATACGCAGCACGTGGGAATTGTATAATATTAGTAATTCAATTGTTAATAGTAACATTGCAAGTGTCTCAACAACGAAGAAAATTTACGAACGATATTTGTCAAAGAAGGAGAAATGAATCAAAATCTTCCGCAACGAGAAAGAGAAATTCAATTATTTTACAAAGTCTTCCGTAGGAGAACAAAAAAAGAAGGATTCAATTACCTCCGCAAAAGATTAATTTTTTCAATTGTGTGAAAAACTTTCGTTACCATCAGGGACTTTTGTAAATTCGTTTCTCGGTTTCCCTGAACTTTCAACTTCCTACGTTTTTTCGAAACTTCGACTTTAAGCCAAATGGTTCCACGCAGACCTCGAACTTGCAAAATTAAAATCCTCTCGCGTGTATGCTGTGAAAGTTCGTAAGGAGAACACAGAAATTAATTTCGTACGGTGTTTCAATGCTCGCCATTCGCCAACTTTCTTTTTTTATTTACTTGATGAAATTGCTGTGCTTTTGGAAATATCGCTGATCGATGCTTCTTTGCATTATGTGCAATTTTCGACTTGAGAAATTGAAAAGAAGGACGTTGAAATCGAGGGGAAATCGAAATTAGGGAGCTTCGATCGAATCGAAAATTTCTATTTTCTAAGAAACAATTAAGATAAATAATAAATTCGTAAAACAGGGACAGAGATATGAAACTTTGAACAATTTAAATGGTAAAAAGAATATTAGTTATCCTTCGTTGTTTTTCGAATCGCCATAATCTGCTCAATATTGTAATTTATAAAATTTTCATCTTCTTACTGATAATTCCAAATTGCTGGTATTAATTTTAATTCATTTGAAAGATTTACGAGAATAGTCGAAATTTTTATAGGACATATTAAACCTAACGTTGACTCGGTAATAAAAATCAGAAAAGTGAATTCTCATTTGAAGCAGTGACAAATAGCGTGAAGTATGAACGAACACATTAAATCGAATTTCTTGTACGAGCTGTTCAATTTCCAGATAGAATTCGATCTGAAGACAATCTCTTAAAAATTGCCTTCACGTCCGATCGATTCTTTTTATTTGAATTACGTACGCCACCCTTCGTGACTTCGATTCATGAAATTCGAATGAATAAGATTCTAGGAGAAATGAAAATGTAATAGCACGATATATTTCATTTTATGCTATTACTCCTAGAAATTTTCCTTTCCTAAATGGGAGTTCTCCAAGTATGTTACAAAATGCTTTCACATTTACGTGTTTAAAATATCATTTCGCGAGATTTGTGACTATCGTCGAATATTCAAGTATTCAAATATCAAAGGTAACCGAATATCCTTTGATTTTTCTCGAGGATAATCGTTATTCTTTTATTTTTCTCAGAGATAATCATTATTCTTTGATTTTTCTCGAAGATAATCGTTATTCTTTAATTTTTCTCAAAGATAATCGTTATCCTTCAATTTTCCTCAAACATAATCACTCTTCTTTGATTTTTCTCAAAGATAATCATTATTCTTTGATTTTTCTCAAACATAATCACTCTTCTTTGATTTTTCTCAAAGATAATCGTAATCCTTTAATTTTTCTCAAAGATAATCGTTATTCTTTGATTTTTCTCAAAGATAATCGTTATTCTTTGATTTTTCTCAAAGATAATCGTTATTTTGGGATTTTTTTCGAAGATAATAATTAATTAAAATTTTTTAACTCTACTTAACCACTTATATCTTACAAAATGTTTGTTTCTCTCAATCTGAAAATTAAAAAATTTCTCTAAATCCCTCTTTTTCTATTCTAAATTCTCCGTATTTATACAGTACATACTCGTATTAAACGGAGCATTAAATGGATCTTTAAATAGAGCAAGCTTAGTTTCCCAAATGTCCATACTCGACAAGAAACGTTATAATTCTCCAGAAATTACCGCTACGTTATTAATCTCTTTAATTAAAGGTATTTTTTTTTAAGGAAATGGAGGTTTTTCTGACTGATTCGAGCTTCTCGATAAATCACAGGTGAGTATCACTGTGAGGATAATATGCGATATAATTCTAGATATTCGCGAAATACAAGCACCGAACCGTTCACTATCGAATCACTGACTAAAATACGCAGTATTAGGAGCAACCTTCCGCACAATTTCTATATGCAACTCACCATTAATAACGTGCACGTTGACGGTGGCCCTCGCCGCCACAGTGGGCACGCAACTGTAGTTCCCAGAGTCGCTTGGCTTTAAATGAGCGATCCTCAATCTGTAACAGAATAAAAACAGAAAATATTAGATATAAAATACGGTCGATTGTAATCAATTTTTCGACTAGTCTTTGATCGGGAATTAAAGTGACGCGTGAAATTAATTTACCGAGCATTTCTTTCCGCATTTGGTTTGAATATGAAAAAGTGAAAATCTCGAGAAAATCTTAAAAATCTTAATTTTCACTTTTTTGTCAAAAGTGGAAAATAAATTTTTCATAGTAGAAAAGAAGATGAGAAAAATAAGGTTTTCACTTTTCCGTCGACGACTCATGATTATTTTTCACTTTTCTGCGAACTCACGATTTTCTTTCACTTTTCGTGAAAAATAAGTGAAAAGTGGAAACCTTATCTTTTCTATTATGAAAAGTTTCACTTCCACTTTTACTCATTTATTTGAAAAGTGAGTCCACAATGAAAGCTAAAAATAGAGAAGATGATAGCAAATATTCAAATTTTTCCTCATCGAAGCACGGAAATTGGGTCAATTTCACCCAAAATCGAGCGACGAATTCTTTCTCCTTCGTTATTAAACGTATCATTAGAGCTGAAATTTAATTTAATTTAATTTACCAATAATTATCTAATAAGCATTAATAACGTTTACAAAAGAGAACAAAATTTCATGGAAATCAATTATATTTTCCCTGCAATTTCACAAATTTCGCACGAGAATCAAGGTGAGTACATCAGGAGTTACTTAATTCAACTGTTATCCAGTTCGCTCTAATCATTATTACACCGCATGAAAATAGACGCATATATTTCAACGAGTAATCACGTACGGATGATAGAAATGGCTTTCATTTCACGAGTGGTTATCGATACGCGATTCCGGCATTTCGGTGTACCAAATAATTGATGACAAAATTAACAATGAAACATCGATGATTAGCTATATTAACTGTTGGTTAATAGAGCATGCGGTACGACGAATTTCCCTCCCCCCCTTCACACTCTTTTCTCGGTGAAAAATACACACACGTCCCGTGATTAAACTTCGTTCAGCCATTCTCGACAGCAACTTTAATTACTTCGTAGTAATTCATTAATAGGAACTACTCTAATTGCTGTTAAAAGCCGCGAGTTGAGCGAAACGTTGAGGAGCTCTGAATAGACGGTGAATAAAATACAAGTGCTTCCTGCTTTTAAATGATAAACTTTAGCCAGCTAGATGTTTATAATTTATGTTAGATTTACTTTTCTGTAAATAATCGTGGCTAATCATTTCTACCAGTGTACACTCTTGTTAGAAATTGTAGTCGTTAAATTGTTCTTTTCAATAAAATATGAATTGTAAATAAAGAATTTCGGATTTTTCATGATTCTATGAGAAATAAAAATGTTAAATTACGATATTCTTAGATTTAGTAATTAATTTTCATTCGTATACATTTTTACAATAATTCTCGATTCTTCGTTAAACGTTGAAATTATACATATTCGAGCGAGTCTTTGATATGAAAGAAGGTATAAATGAAATGACAAAATGTGTGCAATAATCTCGTCGAAATGTAATAGATAATCAGAAATTCAGGTCTGGTAATTAATTTGCACCGATTTCAATCTACTTTCTATTTTGTTGCATTGATGAAACGAGAGTAAGTGATGAATGAAACATTTCATTAAACAAACATGATCATCATTATTTCCATTTGAACGGGATTATTAATAAAATGACGTGAACAATTTGATTAATACAAACTGACTCGCTGAAGTCGAGTGAAGAAAATTCACTCTCTTTCTGTTGAAAATTAGCAATAAAGTCCTAATTGCACTCTACAAATTTTTCTGCCAAAAATTAATAATAAAATTCTAATTACACTATAAGAGTACTCGCTAAAATTGAATCAAGAAAATTCACTCTCGAAATTTTTCTGCTAAAAATTGACAATAAAATTCTAATTACACTGTTAGAGTAACTACTAAAATTGAATAAAGAAAATATGTTCTCTAAATTTTTCTGCTAAAAGTTAGCAATAAAATCCTAATCGCACTCCTAGAGTACTCACTAAAATTGAATGAAGAAAATTCACCAATGAAAATGTAAAATGAAACCATTGAAAATGTCGAGTGAAAGCATTGAAAATGTAGAACGAAACCTCTGTTCGTTACAACCAAAGTGTCATCGAGGTGCAATAAATTTCATTGGCCGTGCGAGTGGCTTTCCTAACGACAGGGAATAATTCGACGTCGAATACATTGCTGGTAGGTTAGGGCAGCTCGCAAAGAAGTTCCGGCAACTTGCTCCCAATAGATTATTGATTAATCATTTACTTGCAGTATTTCCCTAGTTAGTTTCATCGCGTGGCATTGTAACGTATCACACCCTCGGGGCTAATAACGATCGTTTAAGGGTTACGTGTCCCGAGTGGCATCGCCTCTGCAACTGTACACGTCTTCTCGAGTATGTAATTATTTTAATACCGGCGAAACTTACTGTTTCCACGTAAAAAGATTATCGAAATCGTAAAGAAGAAAAAAATAGGAAAAACGAACGTATCTGATTATTTCAATATCGGAGGAACCTGCTGTTCCGACATAAAAAGATTATCGAAAATTTCGACGTAAAAAGGTTATCGAAATCCTAAAGAAGAAAATAGGGAAAACTAATTATTTTAATACCGGAGGAACCTGCTGTACCGAAATAAAATGATTATGGAAATATTAACGCTAGAAAAGCTGACCGGGTCAAAATGGACCCATTGACGAATTTCCAAAAAAAGCGAATGGTCAATTCGATACTGGCAAGTATTATTGTTTGTAACTTTCTGACTTTGTTCTCAGCAGGTATACTTCTAATTTTTTAATCATGTTTTAGTAACATAAAGTCACTTATTGAGAGGTTACTAATGGGTCATTTTTGACCCAGGCGATCCTTCGAGTGTCAAAGAAAAATTAGCGAAAAGGAACACAGAAATGGAAAGAAACTTGAAACTTCTACTTCCTCGTAGACGCAAAATTGAGTCTTTTTCCTAATACTATTAAATCCACTCTAAATTTTTAATAATCTCTTCGAACGAACGACAGTGTACGATTCTCGCTACTTTCGTAGCTCGACATTACTCCAAAAGAAACCTACGTTGCACATCCTCGAAAATTTCACCACGAAGTATCTCTCCCGTTCGCCTGAGATCACATTTATTTACATTCTCATTTCACCTTCACCTTACCCTTTAGTTTCCAGCTTTTCACAACTTCTTGCCCAACCTTTTTCCCTCCGTGTATTCTCTCGCTTTCGTCTCAATTACCCTTTTTCCACGGTGTCCTTTGTGCCCAACAAAGGCGACATAGTAATGCTTAAAAACCTACACTTTTGCCCCGTTCTGACCGTAAGTTTTCCTTCCATTCACGCTGTTAGACAGTCTGAGCAAGCTCCCTATAATATTCAGCGGTTCCTCGAGTCAAGGAGGAAACAGGGCCGGTCCTTTGTCAGACAGGCCATGCACCGTGAAGACGCATCGAGCATGCTCTGCATTTCTAGCCGGCCCTTGTCAGCTATGGCGGCGTTTGTGTGTCGCCGGAATATTGCAGCCAGGCTGCGTCTGTTTTTGGACGTGATTGACGATTGTCAGCCTGGCGTTTCACGACGCCGAATTTACGAGGATCTGTTCCCCACCTCTCTCTCACTCCCTCCTAATTCCCTTCAATCTGAACTGTGCGCGGCTCAAGAACCAGGAATTAATTGTCTGCTGGCTGGCATTGCGTGTGACGCGTTCTTCCCCTCTCGTGATACGCTGATTCCTCTGTCGAATTGTCACCGAGATATTTACGCGTCTAACGCCGCGGCCACGAGTTGATCAACCGGGTTAATTTTGATGTATAGCGTCGAAGGGAACGCGCCACAGGTCTGGTTTTCTTGGATTTCTTCGTTGATGTTGCGGTGAAGTAGTAAGACGTTGATCGATGATTTTAGGTTTGTAGAGATTTCGGGTGTTTTTGGAAATCGGGTGTTTTTGGAAATCGGGTGATTTTTCGCGTAAAATTGTCGAATGTTTGAATGAAATTTTACTGTATATTTTCGACTTAATTTTACGTAAGGAATCGCCTATTTCTTGGCGACGTTCAACTGTAATTTCTGGGTCACCCTAATTTAGGGGTAGATTTGTCAGTATGATTGGGGCAAAAGTATGGGAAATACGATTGTCTCAGTTTTTAATTAGAAATTATTTTTAGAGTTAGAGTAACGATTTAGCAATAATAGCACTTTTGACGAATGATTTCAGTTACAGAGCTAAGAAATTTGAAGTAGTGCAAATACGACTTTTCGCATTTCGGTTTGAAAAATTAACGTGTTTTTGAATTTTTTGTAATTTCGGCTCACGAGTGTCTTAAGATTATCGAATTTGTCGATACTGAAAAAATCAACACACTCCTGCGAAAGGTGAAACGATTTCTCACACGTTTCGGCAAGTTCACGTGAATTTCGTATGAACTTTTAATTGGAATGGTAAGTCCTGACGGTGGCATTTACAATTCGTAAAAACGTCCCTCTTTACTAACGAAACTTCCTTGGCTGTAAAAACTTTCCCTCCGTTAGCAAACATTTTCTCTAATTTAAAAACTTCTTTTATTACGAAATCTTTCTCTGCTGTTGTACCAAAAAGGAAAACTCTCATCCACAATAGAATATGTGATGCCACCAAAAGTCGTACTACGTACATTTAAGTGGCTACCATTCGAGAAATTTATTAAGATTTTATTACAATTAAGAATTTTATTTTACAAAATTTAATCACTTCGATTAACTTGTTGATTTCACACTCGTTCAATGTATATTTATTCTGTGTACTTAACCGTACCGAGTGTTAATCTTTGTCACATCTTTGTAATACATTACACAATTTAATGTCAATTCACAAAAAAAAAAAAAGAAATTAATTCGACTGCAAAATTAAAATTTCTAAAATTATTTGCAAAATATCAATTGCACACTCTGATATCCACCAGATCGAGTATTTTTTAAACGAAACTCAATCACTTCTCAAAATTTTCAAATTTTTTCAAACGAAATGAAATCAATTCCACTCCGAAATTAAAATTTCCACAAATCCCACAAATCTTCTATTACACATCGGATGAAAAATTATTCATAAATAAATCACAGCAAAACGTACCGACTATTTTACACGAAAGAATGTTTTCTCTCGTATTAGTTACCCAAAAAATTCTTTCTTCCGTTAATTTTCATTCACGACTCACGCGTATAAAGAGTGGAAAAAATCATACCTTGACGTGAGGGCGTCGCTCCATTCAGTTTCAACTGTGATACGAGGCTCGCCGTTCACGTCATTCTCGGAATGGGGCGACGTTACCACTGGCTGATTACCATGGTGCCAAGCTACTGTGCCCAGATCGTGAGGTCCTTGAGACATCAGGCAAGTGAGCGTGAGAAGACTGCCAGTTTTCATGTAGATATCCGACGAGCCGTTTATTCTGGCTCGTGCCTCTGAAAAAAGAAAAAAAATTCCCCTGATTAGCACATATTTTACAGCCCTGTAATTGAAAAATTTAACACCGAAATCTCAACGATATCAACTTTCCAAGAAAAGATGAATTTTCGATACTGATTTCCACTTTGTTCTGTGCATGTTTACAGAAAAAGTCACTTTTGGAAAAAGAAAGTTTACTAATTGGAGGGAGAGAGTTCCTAATGGGTCATTTTTGACCCAGACAGTCTTTCTAGGATTAGTTATGCTGTACATTAAGCCTTTTTTATTTATTTTTCATAATTTCATATTATAACATTATAATTTCTTCATTTTATCATTAATTACATTCATTAATCACTATTCTTTTTCAAATAGCGATAAGGCAATTTTCTTTCAATTAAAATTTTTCAATTATATCAGTTGTCAATGCTAGATATTCGAGACGAAAATGTTCTCTTTCAAGCTTTCTGCAAAATAACACAGAATTCACGTAAAAAATTGTCCACCATACCGATTCACAAAAAGTGAATCTTGCAACAACGAAACGATTCCGACATTCGAAGGATTGGAAAAATCTTTACAACTCGAGAATCTCTCCAATCCGCTAATAAACATATAATCGCTACATTTCATTTCGTTCCGCGAGACTTTTATTTCCGCAACAGATTCCCGTTCCAAAGTGGTAACAGCCGAGGAAGCGAAGGTTTAAACGATAAGAAGCTAGAAGAGAGAGCGACTATAAGCGCGTCAAATAAACGTTAAACACCACTTTCCGAAGCTGTGTCAATTTTCCGAGACTATTATCCGATATCCAATGCCGATAAATTATTCATATCGCGAGCAAATCGAGTGGTATATAAGCAGCCAGCTATCCTGGGGATTCAGTTCGACCTACTTTCTGATTAGCACGCGAATGTTTCCTCGACACGGTGCATTTATAATGGCCGTGCGAGTAATTATGCGCGAGCGAAATTGTCGCCGAAAACAGAGGTCGAGAGGGCAATGTTTACCGAAACACACGCTAATTATTGGATCGCTTAAAATCAGAAGCTTCTGCTCAAGTCTGCGAGAATTTATGTCTTTCTTTCGGCGTCGAATTTTTGTAGCTTTGTAACACCGTCTCAGGTTGTTGCAAGTGAAATGACCGAATTTTTAACCCTTTCGCTGCGACAGATTCTTAATGCGTAACGTGAGTGAGTGACCGAGGATAAATTTTTAAATACGACTGCAAAATTTGTTGTTCGGCGTTATGGTTTTAAAATTCGGTTTATTGAATTAAGGTGCAAGTGTGTAAAGCATAAAATTTAAGCATTAAATTAAGGTTGAAATGCAGCAAAAGGTTCCGAAAGTATGGTAGCAATGAAAGGGTTAAAGAAATTTTCAACGCGCATTTATAGTTCAAGTATAATATTTATTTATGGAAATTTGTGCCTTCATTATGAGAGAGCTTTGGTTTTCTAGATTTCAGACTATAAATGGCCATAGTGAATTACGAAAGAGACCATTATGTTTTTATTGGAGTAATAATTTAATCGTTAATCATTTCTCATGCTAAATAAAATGAATTCACTGAGAATTAATGATTACAATATTAAATAAAATGAATAATAAAATAAATAATGAGTATAATATTGAAGAAAATTTATCATGCAAATTGTGCAATAATCTTTCAGTACAAGATCGTTCTAAATCCGTGGAAAATCCTTAAAATCAGCACTAAAAGATTCCCACTTCGTTACGGAGATAGTAAAAATTAAAGCACACGAGATTTTCAACGAGTTAGTCAGAGGAGAAGAGGTTGAATCAAGATTCACGTGTATTCAAAGTGAATGGTTAAAACGTCGTATTGGCTTTAGAGCTGTAATAAATCTTTAAACGCCGTTTTCAAAGACGCGTACCCAGTTTTCACAGGCAAAGCTCCTATTCATTTCCCTCCGATCTACCCTTTTTTTATTTGGAAAATACCCATCAATTTTGTCACGGTCAGCGAAGGTTTCTATCGGGATACAGTTCAATGACTTCCAGCGAACGCAAGAAGAATGTGTCTAGTCACTGTTGCGATATCAAATTCGAGCGAGAATGACGGACATCTAATTCATAGTATTTCAATATAGGGATGCATATCGATTTTCGTTTGAAATTTTACCGTGTGATCTTAATATTGCTATTTTTGTGTTTTGATACTATCGTGCGTAGTCGATACGTAGTTTTCCCTTTTTTATGCTTCTTTGAAATTTTGAAATTTTCCCGAATTCGATATTTCTAAATTTAGAAATTTTCCTGAATTCGATATTTCAAAGTTTAGAAATTTTCCTAAATTCGACATTTAGAAATTTTCCCGAATTCGATATTTCAAAGTTTAGAAATTTTCCTAAATTCGATATTTAGAAATTTTGCTGAATTCCATATTTGAGAATATAGAAATTTTGCTGAATTCCATATTTGAAAATTTAGAACTTTTCCTGAATTCCATATTTCTAAATTTAGAAATTCTTCCGAATTCGATATTTAGAAATTTTCCTGAATTCCATATTTGAAAATTTTGAAATTTTCCCGAATTCGATATTTCAAAGTTTAGAAATTTTCCTAAATTCGACATTTAGAAATTTTCCTGAATTCCATATTTGAGAATATAGAAATTTTGCTGAATTCCATATTTGAAAATTCTGAAATTTTCCTGAATTCTGTATATCTAAATTTAACAAAATTATGAAAAATTTCACACGTTAACATTTATGACTTGAACGATGAATGCCAAACGCAGTTAAATATTCACGAATTAATACTGTACCTTAAATTCAAGATTGACTTTTCTCTCTCTAAAAGAGAATCTCTCTAATCTTGTGAAGAGAAAACGTATGCTTTAACTTCAGAATGAAAATTGAACTACGAACTGCTAATTCTTTAGATGTAAAGGAGTCGAGATATTCAGAAAAACATTCTGCATATAAACTCGAAGATGTAAATCCTTGTTGTGTCGTAAGTGAGACACAAAAAAGGAATGTCTGTAATTTGTCAATCTAGACCACAGCGATTTTCCCTGCACGCTGTCAATAGCCACTTCGCTAAATTTACGGCCCTGTCGGGTCAAAAAGTCCAGGTCATTTTTAAGACCACCCTGCTCTGGTCGTTCTTTCAGGGTTAGTGACCTTTCTGAATCTTCTCAATGAAGGTGGACGAAGGGAGAAGTATTTAAGGTGGTACATCACCATGAGGCTTTTAAAATAGGCACAATTTAGGAATTTCTTTCGTAGATAACTACTAAACGAAAGGTTCCAATTTCTTCGGTGGATATAAATGTGACTTTCAGCTTCCTTCTCCAATTTTTAAGAAGTAAAAATGTTACAAAATGGAGGAGTTACTGCAAAAACTCTTCTGCTAGAACATCGATTACTAGCCGCCATCGCTGACAAGGATTGGAACGTCTGAAATAAAAAATTCTTCTGAATTCATAAATGCGAATGTATTACCTACAACGTACCGTAAGATTTTTCAAAAATTATAATTATTATAGAAATGATGGCAGTTTGAAGAACGAAAACCTCTTTTTACCAAAAAAATCAACTTTATACGTCTCTAAAAAATTAAATAATTGAGATATCGACAAAATCATAAGCCACATTGTAGATAATACATTCGCATTTATAAGTCAACAAGAATTTTTCATTTCAGAAGCTCCAATCCTTGCCAACGATGGCGACCAGCAATCGACGTTCTCGCACAACAAGCTTCGCAATAACTCCACCATTTTGCAACATTTCCACTTTAAAAAAATTGCAAAAGTAAGCCGAAAGTTACATTCATATCCCCTAAAAAAATTGAGATTTTTCATTCACTACTAACTTATTTAAAAAAATCCCAAAATTCACCTATCTTTAGACCCTCAGGGGTCTTTAGACACCCCCTTAAACAAGTATTCAAAAAAATAAACCTAACTCCGATATTTCACCAAAGAAAGACTATCTCAGCAACAACAATTTGTTGTTCATTGAACCCACACCAATTTCCCTCCGCAACATTTCCTCCCCCGATTATCCTAAGTGTCTAAAAAATAAACTCACGGCGATCGTTACGGCGAGCATCCTGTATAAACAGTTTCAAGCTTCCAAGGGTGAATTTCCACGATGCTGATCGATCGAACGTTGCCAAGATGTTTCCTCGTTCATCATCGAAAGCGACGAGCGTGTGTATACTGTGTGCCCGATGGGATCGCGCGCTTCGAACTCGCGATTACACGAATAATCGCGGCTCTGAACGGTGCGTATGGGGCAGAAAAGATTTCCCTGGATTTGCCGCGTGACCCGCCGAATAAATGTTCCCGCCCGGCTGCGTGATTTATTTCGTCGCGATCCAAACGGTTAGTTCGAAACAAAGGAATTCATCGCGTTTGAAACCGATGCACGCAGCTTTTTTCCTCCACTTCGATTATCGTTCGGTATTCGATGTTTGCGCGGAAATAAACAATACACACTGTCGCGTTTTTAATTCAATTTTGTTTCAATGAATTATTATGGCCGTTGTGTTTTGATGGAGGATCGAGTGCTGGTTTTGTTTGGCTTTTAAGACGGATTGTTGAGTGGAGGAAGGAGAGAAGAGGAGTGGAGAATTGAGAGTGAAAAATAGAGGACAGAGAGGGGTAGGAATGGAAGGAAGGATGAAAAGTAAGGTGGAATATGGAGCGAGAAGTGGAGAATGAAATGGAGAAAATGAAGAGTAAAGGAATGGGGTGGAAGAATGATTGTTGTTCAGATGAGATTATTTGGATCTTTGAATTAACTGTGCGAATTATGAAGTGACGAAGATTTATGTTATATTGCAACAGTTTATAGCGAAGATTTCGAAATTAAAATTATAAAATGCAGAATTTGCTTCAGGAAAAAGTAATGAAAAAAGAAAAATCGAGATTTGAGTATCGAGGGAGGAACCAAATAATTCAAAACAAAAATTTGCGAGAAAAGGGTTAGAAGAATGAAGTTTCACAATATTTTGTAACAGTCCATAACGAAGATTTC